CCTTGGCGTTAATCTTACCTAAATCAGACCTTATTGGACTTACCAAGAACTTATTCAAATAAATACAATCTCAGTAGGAAAACACTTAGCTGGATTTGAAGGTACATTTTAAAGCTAATATAAAGTTATTAACCTGGTTATCATTCTGCTATGACAACATAGAATAGTGTTTTCACCCAATACCCAGAAGAGACACAGGAACAAACGAAAGTATCTAATGAACATGTAATTCTTAAATAGAATTTCAAGAAAAGTCCTTCAGAGCTTGGATTTTAACAGTCCTCTACCAAAAGCACAACACTAGAGATCCACCTGTATTATTCCCTCTTTCTCTACTCTACTGAAGTACATTAACTTCTAATGCAGGCAATCGTAAAACCAATAGTGCTTCAAGTTTTAATAAAATTGTTGCATGCCCACTTTCTTTAGATGGCAATCCAGTTACTAGGCTCTTTCTCTTAAATCTTCTGAGACTAGCATACTAGTAAGAGGGGGAAAAAGTTACATTGCTTCCAGGTTATGGGGCAGGGGCAAGAACACAGTTCCACTGAAACTCGTGGAGCATGGTGTTGTTAGGAGCAGATGACATTTATCTGAGACTTCAGTGCCCTCTTGTGGCAAACTGCAAGTGTAATTAAATGCTAGATTAGCATCCAATTGCTCAAATTAGTCACTTCATTACTTTTCAGAGAAAACAAAATAAAAAGTATGCATTTATGAAGTTGCATTTCACTATATTTTTCATCAATTATGCTTTCACTGTACAAGCCCTAAAGAAAAAAACACATTTGCCTCTGGGACTACACCCAGGCACTGCATCTGGCAGTAATAATGTGCTTCAGAAAGCCATTGCCACTTTAAATATGTATCAGCTCACAGAAGCAAAAGGAATTGCTAAACATGGTATTTACAGTAAATGTATATGCAGTAAGAAAATCTCAGTGGCAAGTAAAACCTCTGTCCTAGGATCCAGAAGAGTGGACACTGAGGAACTGAACTGTTTGAAATAAAGCAAGGAGGAAAATTTTGTACAGTCTAACTTTATGAACATATTTTGTAATAGGATGCAAAGGAGTGACTGGTGGAAAAAAAACAAACCAAACAGAAGAAGAATAAACCTCTCTTACACACTTTTCATGGTGTTAATAACCACAATGGGCAAGCAAGTACATCTCTGAAGAAGGGAGTCACTCAGTACTTGTTAAAGAGAGAAAACCAAGCACAGAGAAAAAGACATTTTCAGCTCAGCTGAGTTCTACATTTCATGAAGAAAAAAAAGCATTTTTCTAAGCAATAATTTTATGAACATGAAAAAAGTAACAAAGCACTATTTTTTCTATGCATCTGCTACACAGTAAATGCATACATATGAGAAATAACATTATTTTTTACAGTTAAGAGCAAATGAACCATTATGGTACTTGAGGTAGAATATGAAAGCAAACTCATATATTCACAGATTAGGTGGAGAGATACAATATCTCAGGTTAAAAAAAAAACAAAGGGAAAACACCTGGTTTAACTGAAAAATCTTCACTGAATTTATCTTCACAGTAATTAAGACAGCATTTGTGTAAATTTTCAATAGCAGCAAAGTAATAGTATTTAGAGCCTAGCATTTCATCACTTGTCACTAGATAGAATCACAAGGGAAGATCTGAACTTCAGAACACTCTCACTTTGCTCTCACTCATAACTTTGCTATGGAAGAAATTTCTTCTTTCCCTTGCTGCTCAGCAATTTGTGACATGAAACATTAGGTCTGACCTTCACCTATAATTATGTCTCATCTTAAATGCAAAGGATATATTTAATAGATACTATGTTTATGCATATATGTGACTCCATGTTTCTGCTGCTGAGAAGTGTACGTAACATGATTTTTGTATTTATGAAGATGGACCTATCCATTTGTACAGTGTATCGAAACGAAAATGCTTATAATTCCACTAGACACTACTTTTTAAGACTCCGACAATCTTCATGACATTACTCCCCTCAACCCAGTAACTGAAGTATTTTATTCACTATTTCTAAACAAACAGATATAGAACCAAACATTTTTGAGAGCTAAAATGACATGAATGCACCTGCCAGCCATATTTCCCATATAGTTACTGCACAGAGTAGATAGTTGTCCTTAAAATGCAGAATGTAATGAATCCTTTATTTTCTGGAATAGAAGGGCTAGGCAAACCATCAAAAAGTATGATTTAGCTGGACAGAATACCTCATAATCTGGATATGGGCACACAGGACTGATTCTATCTAGTCTTGCCAATATATAATAGCAATTTTTGAAGGTGATATTAAAGGGAATAGTAGCTGGAATAATGACGTTTAAAAAGTTTAACAACCTGAAAACACAAAAGGCACATAATCTGTAGGGAAGTAAATTCTCATGCTCCTTACTTTCTGTCAACTTCTAACATCCTACATGGCAATAAACCTACATGGCAATGAGTGCAAAATGTGTTTCTTCACCTCTGTCCTCTGCATCTCTCACTGACTGGTTTTGGTAAAGGACCATTTTCTAACCATGACGGCGATCCTTACATCGGTCCACTACTTACTTTCTATTAATTTCTATATATTTTAGCAAAGACAGAGATCTTGAAGTCTTTCCAAGTCTACAAGTTACTTCACAAAGAAAAAGAAAAGCTCTGAAGTGGTGCCTTACCTTTGCATTGTAAACCTTGTCTCAAAAGACCCCAGAGCAATGAACCACAGTGGTCACAGAAGGTGGGCACTTTGTAATTGTGAATGCTGAACTTGTGAGGCATGTTGACACTGAAACGCTGGGATCCCACTTGCTGAGAAAGGAGAGCACAGCATATTTAATTCTCATTAATTTCTTTGCAATCATTGTATGCCAAGGCCCTATTATGTTTTGAAACCACACAAAATTCGAACAAAACCAAATAGGTCTGTGCTCAGATGATGACCACTGCATTAAATATACTCCAACTCCAAAGCTGTTCTCACTACTTTAGACGGGGAAGGGCTGCTGTTGTCCAAGAGATAAAGAGTCTACTTCCTAGTACTTCTGGGAACAACAAATACACAGCTATCAGGAAAGATCTCTTAATGTGGAAAGCAAGGAAGTCACTCCCAATTGTTTTAGGAGCAGGAGGCTGAACTTCAACAGGACTAAGAAAGAGATATATATCATGAACCCTTTACCTTTTCATATCCTACTCTTCTTTAGATTATGATAATGACAATGATAGATTGTTGTGTTCAGGGACTCCAAGGTATGATTACTTACTAATTAAAGGATGTCATTGATAAGTTTTAATAGTGACCATTGCGTAGCAGGAGATTTATTTTTATGTTTTTCCTTCCCTTTCCTATTACCGCTGGCTTTTCTCCAGTGATCTAGTACCCCTTTTAAACAATGAGAGCATTATATCAGCAAAGTATGCAAGTCTCCACCAGTCTGGAGCCTGGGAATATAAACCTAAGTAACGTTTTGTATCTTCCCATGAGTACTAAGCAAAACCAGCACTAGCCAAACACAGTCCTTTATCACAATCACATGCACGTGATCACATTTCAGATGTAAAATACTGGTTGTGAACCAGATATTAAAGAATGCTTCCAGGAAGGAAAATGGTAGTGAATTGCACAGGAAGAATGAGATCAGTTAGTGCCTCACTCAAACTTATATCAAAGTTGAAAGAAAGGATTAAAACTGCTCTGTTGCATACAACTGATTTCATGTGAATGTAGGTTCTTAATAAAAAAAATTAAGAAATGTACTTCTTCTGTTTAGCCAAGAAACTGTGATCACCCAAAGACTACCTCCCCTAGTCCGATGGTGAAAGACAGCGGGTCCTTGATGGTGCACAAAACAGAACAGGACAGTGAGCACTCATTTGCTTTTCTGTTGAAACAAAAACGAAAAGCTTCTGTATAAGATAAAGCATTCACTGTTTACAGTTGAGTGCTAAAACTACCTAAAAAACCTGTAACTACACTTCTCCACCTGCACCCTATCAACCCAGACTCCCCAAAGCTGAGGAGTCTAAGGGAGCTGAACAGTACAGCAGTCACATTGTTCCCTGGTGTATCGCTGTCCACAGAAAATGACACTGATTTCCTAACCTAGCTTAGAAGGGCCATCTTAGCAGAGAGAGAGCTCTAATTCAAATGTAATTCCTTTGAGAATGATTCCTTTGTTTTATCCTCTGATCCAAAGCTGAATGTGCTGTTGGCAGATCATGGAAGCATAGAATTGTTAAGGTTGGAAAAGACCTTTAAGATCAACAAGTCCAACTGTCAATCTAGTACTATCACTATGTTTACCAGTAAATCATGTCCTCAAGTGCCATATCTACAGGTTTTCTGAAGGCTTCCAGGGATAGTGACTCCACCACTTCCCTGGGCAGTCTGTTCAAATGCTTCAAAACTCTTTCCATTAAGAAACTGATCTAATTTATCTAATCTAAACCTCCCCTGGTGCAACTTAAGGCAATATTTCCTCTTGTCCTGTCATTTGTTACCTGGGAAAAGAGACTGACACTCCTTTCAGGTAGTTGCAGATATATTAACCTCCCTGACAGTACAGTTCTGAAGGCAACTGATTTAATTTTCAGGTGATGTCTTCATTTATTTAAATGCATGATAACATAAAGCAAACTGTGCCAATTCCATTAACAAAAAAAAAAAAAAACTTGCTTGAGATGCGAACTATGCCGGAAAACCTGTCAGCTACAACGTATCTCGTGTTATCACTACTCCCTTATGTAACATTCACAGGCCTTCTTCAACACATGGATGGTTTTTGCTCAACATTTTGACAGCTTGGATGCAGCCTTTGTTGAGATAAAACTTTGCAGGCAAATTCTGGGCAGTTTTTTACAATGATGCAACATACACAAGCACGGTGCCTGTCCTATCAGCTGTTAATGACTCAGCCACACCAAATGCAGCTAAGAGAGTAAAGGATCCCAGCTTGCTTCTTTCAAATTAAAACAAGAAAAATTTACTTAAAGTCAGAAATGGAGCATGTTAAAAATGAAAAGGACTGGAAAGAGCTCTCTGAGACTTCAAGCATTCAGATGTTATAGAAAGTATGCTAATTAGCAATAAATTGCTGTATGGTAATTCCCACATATATGAAACTGTGCTAGCAATCTGGCATTCCAAAGCCAATGCTACACCACAAGATGACCAGAAAGGCACAAAAAAAGACTGTACCATTTATTGATTAAACAGAGGAGATGACACTACTTCGAACAGATGAAAGACAGAGTTTTATCTAGAGAAATTATTTTATAAACATTTACCTCATCATGAGTTTCCTGTTTTTTTAAGCCAGCACACTTTGTTATTATAAGTTCATGGCATCTCTTGTGGACTACACAAGTGCAAACTAGAAAAAAAAAAAAAACAGATAAAAGAATGAGACTTTCATGAAAATTAATTTGAAAGCAAGAGATTGATCTAAGAAGACTAGAAACACTGGGACTTGAAAGTGTGCAAGTGACTGACGGTGACTTGGTGAGTCCTACAAAATTAGTTGGTTTACAAAGGCAGAAGATAATGGACTTTCAAGAGACCAAAGAAT